ACGTAAGGGCCCGCTCGGAACAGCGCGAACGAGGTTTTATTGGGAATTAGTATGAAACAAGTGCAAAATCTAACTTACGCTGTTCTTACAGCAGAGATGTTAAAACGTTATGGTAATATCCCCATTTTCACACTGATACAAAATAATACAAAAGGACCTCTTTCCGCCTATTCGCTATAAACTTTGGTTCAACATCATGTAACACTGTCTGTATGTCCTTACAGCCAAACAGAAACACGGTCCCTGTGCCAAAGTTATTCCAAGGAGTAGAAACTCAGCCTGGGATCACACTGTAAAAACAGAACCTGGGATAACAATTTCTTGATTCTTTTCTTTGAGTCCTCATCCAGACAGCACAAGACTTTTTCTGAGGCTTTCAGCCATCGAGGTCAGCGTAGGTGATGGGCCGCACACAACTCACCTTGCAGAACAGCGCGGAGCAGAAAGCTCCTCACTACAGGGAAAGAAGAGGGCCAATACTTCCAGTTTCCACTTCTAACCCTGCCTTCTTCCCTAACATTAAATCTTTCAGAAGCCACAGTGCTATTTCAAGTAATAACTCTGGGCAGAACTCAGAATAAACAGTTAAGATTTTCAGTACAATTTTAAATATGGCCAAAAAAAAGCACGTTGCATTGCTATGTATAAATTTACATTTCATAATCCTTCTGGAATAGATACTGAAAACATACATTGCTTCTGTTGCATTGCTGAATTGTTCCCAAAGTCCATGAGAGGGTAGCTTGGTTAAGTACGTGATTAGTAATTAATGTTTAATATGATAAAAAGTCTTTTAGATAACTTAGAAGTAACCATTCAAGAAAATAAGCAGCCTCAACAACAAAAAAAACACACCTACACTGGTTTTAGGACAAGCAGTAACAATTTTTTTTTTTTTAAAGAATAAAATTAATTTACAACATTAGTTTATCAAGAAAAATGTACATTTTATATCTGTATACTTTACAAGATGCTCCAAATTGGCTATGTATTTCTATGGGAGGTATATGTTACAGAATTATTTGGCTGCATTATAAGGCAAGAAGTGAAAAACACTTTGTCCTACAGGAAACCATTCACAGGTGAGATCCAATCACATGATTATTTGCAGACAATTCCAAACATTTCTGCTGACAGCAACCAAACTATGCCGTATCATCTTTATTAAAATGTAAAGAAATGTGCTTAAAAGAGAAAGGTGTAAACTTGTATCCTCCACCAGAGTAGAATTTGTTCTGAAATTCCACCCTGAAACGAGACAAAACAAGCCCAGAATGTGTATATTAATCCAAAATGACCAGCTGTTGAGATAGAACTGTGCAACATAAGAGGCTGAACAAAGCCAATCCTAATCCTGTCACTTACACTTTCTGTGCGGCTATTTAACCCTCCTATCACAGTCCCAGGCAAATTTCATTTTTCTCAAGCCCAAGCACACTGACATCATGCTGTAACGGCTCATTTCTCACTTCTGCCTAATTTGTTTTTGAGTTAGTGGTAGCTAATTGTTTTGCAAATATACAATATCATGAGGACAATGCTCTGTAATGCATATAGCTCTGCCTCGTGTTTATATACTATATGCCTGCTTTTTCTTATACTGTAAATTTCATGAGGTTTCACACTAAATATTCTCTGAATCCACTCAAACATGCAGAGCTCATGATATTAAGACTAAGAAAGCATTAAAATACTTAAGGGTCAGCAGCCCGGCTTCAGCAAAAGTTTTGCTCACTAATCTAAATGTTCTGTTGAACCAAAAAAACAGACTGAAGCCATTCAGTCATATAACCAGACTGAAATTAAAAATACTTATCCACGTTACTAATATTCTACAGTAGGAAGAGCTGCAATACTATAAATCAAATGTACTCAATAGTTTGTCAACTCTGAACATGGTAGAGGTTAATATGCATTACAAGCCAATATAATATTTGAATTTACTGAAAATATTCCAAAGGAACAATCCCATTCAACTAACAAGCCATTTATTTAATGTGATTGGATAAATCTATTACAGTAGCATTAGGATGTTGAATTTTACACTTTTCTTTTTAATAAAGGCACCTAACATTTTGACACAAAAATTCCTCTTAAACAAACCAGTATATGCTGAAGTGGTACAAAGGAAAAATGAAGAGTTAAAACTTACCAGTGAAGTCGTATAGCATGGAGAAAAGCAGAAAGCCCCTCCATGACCAAAAGAATAAAAACTGTTAGCACAGCAAAAAAGGCTAGAACAGGGACCAGCAGTAAGACACCATAGGTTGTATCCACACGAAGGCCCACTCTCATCACCATTTGCCATAGAACTTCTGATAACTCTATTAAAAAAAAAAAGTTTTCATAATTAATGTTGATACTGCATACATTCACCTGTGAGCTGCTCTAAGTGACCTGTACTCTGTTTAAACAGTATCACAGGATCTACTGGACATAGGAACTCTAAATAACCTCCAGTTAGTTGCTCCCCTCTGCCTCCCCCAAAATACTTAAAAGTAAATCTCAGTTTCAAGATCTACTGATGTCAACATTTTACACCATGACACTAAGACTTGCACCTAAGTACCTTCCAAACTGGTCATCAACAGAAAATCAGAAATGGCACCGTGACTACCGATGCACTATTTTGTGAGGTAACACTGTGCTCAGATAACCAGCCTCTTTACAACACAGAGCAATCAATGAAAAAAATTACTAGATTCCAGATAACAGGTCACAATTTTAGTTTGGGGACTTTCCATAGATCATGATTAGTTTAAACAGGGAATTTTTTTACACTAAGAGAATGATAATTTCATAGTAGTATCACCGCAACAGGCCAGCCCCCCTCTAACCAGCAGTAAAAACCAAGACTGATGAAAAAAAAAAATCCAACCAACCAAAAAAAAAAAAAAAAACCAAAAAAAAAACCCCACTTACGTGCATGAGCAAGACTTAATGCCCAGAGTCTCAGATATGAGGCTGTATTAGAAATACATCCTAGGCAATATTCAATGGTATGAATTGCTTGATTCATAAAAATATCTGCAAAATTAAGCTAAAATACAAAAATACATTTGTATCCATTTAAACAACATAGTACAGCACAAAAGAACAAAAACATTCATCTGCAGAGCTTAAGATAAATGGAAGAAAAATTCCATTAAGGTAATAAATTGATTTCATATCAAGTAATAAAAGATCTGCCATATTTAAGATCCTTATTACAGAGACAACATTAAAAAAAAAACAGATGCTATAATTTTCTAGTTAGTTCCCCCAATTATTTTGCTGATAGATAAAAATTAATGCAATTTATGTTTTCCACAAGGAATATGATCTAATACTTGAAAACTCTAAGTAGTAAAACGAGTCATGGTTTTAATTCCCATTCTATTGATGTCAGAAGTTTACAATGTGAATTTTTGCATCTTTAAAACCAGGATTAATTATTAGTAATGCTAGTGATAGAAAAGTAACTACATTAATACTTCAAACTCTAACTATACGTACTGTTGCTAACAAAGAGTTCCAAGACCAGTATTACTGCAAGTTTCAACACTTAATTTGCATGGACCTATGACATGTTTTATTTAAGAAAACAATTATTGTATTTTCTATACATAAGAAACAAGAGTCTACTACTCGAGCAAAGCAAGTACTATACATAGTCTGCACACTGGGGAATTGAAGCACTTTTGTGTCTTTCAATTCACAGGAAACCAGTGGAATTGGTCAAGACCTTTAAAAACTAGGCCAAACTAAACAGCCGCAATAGCTGGGGACTAGGAATGCAGCTCATGTCTCCCAACCCCCCTCAGCAATAATCCTCATCACAAGATGTAATTTGCAGACATAGAAAGACTTTTGTCTGGATGAAAAGCCAAGAGTAATTAACAGGAAGCTGGGCAGTCGTCATCTTGCCTTAATTTTAAGAATCCATAAAACCATACAAAACCCAGGATTTTTATCCCACTCTTCAGTTTAAGAAAAACTATAGTCTTAGATGCAAAGTCTATAGATGCAAATAAAGCACTATTCCTGTTCTCCACTACAGACAGATTGTAGTTTACTGTAACAATCAGAATACATCAAGAAATAATGATAAAATAGCAACAAATAAAAATAAGTAAACTGCATTCAGGCATCAAGGTCCTTGTAAAGGTTCAGCTGATTTTCTTGAAAACTTCCAGGGACCCAGCATACAGGTTATCTTCTTGATCTTCCACTTCTAATTTGCTTTTAAGGACATAGAAATTAGAGATTAAGTAAAAACATTACCTCTTCTCCATCCTCCTCTCGGTGCCCACTGTCTGAATGACTGCTTCCTTCTTCTACATCATGAGTTCTCAGCAGAGAAAGTTCTTCTTCACTTTCTTTTCGAATTAGCTTGTAGCCACTCTGCAAAATGAAAACATATTGTGTCTTTAAGTGGACTGCCAGTGTCATTTTTAAAATGTATTTAAAGTAGTTGCAAGCAAAGGCAAAAACAGAGCTAGAGGAACGAAGCATAGCTTCTTCTACGCTGAAGAAACGTGTGTCTCAATACTTACCCTGTACATCCTAATGCCTCGGCCTCCACTGTGCAACCAATATAAATAAAGTGGTTTACCAAAAAGCATTACAGGAACAGAAAGAAAAGCAATACTAAGTAAAAACCTCTGTAGAGCAACCTGTTGGGGGGGGAAAGAAAGAAAATGAGATTAGATCACAGAGTCAAAGATAAGAAAAGCCTTCCCGTTTTCTTTTAAAGGCCTGTTTAAGAATAAGAAAAGTACTACTGATTTGAGTGGGCATGTGCTCCAAATTGAACACGCACATTATTTTACTTAATCAGGCCCTTAAACTGGGTTACAGACATCCAGCATCTTCAGGACTGGGTTCTAAATCAAGGCATCAGTGATACTCAGTTTAGTACGATTATTTACAGGACATAGAAAAGCATCAAAATGACAAGCGTGAGAATCTGTTCTCTAGCCTTAATTTTAACCTGGGAGATTTTGTTCTAGAAACAGGTATTTTCACAAGTCACTATGTAAAATCTTACAACCAATTAAAGAGTAAATATGCTATTTCATCATGATGTCTATAAAATTTGTCCTTAGTCTGATACATTCCCCTTCCTAGGGGAACACTCAGCCATCAGCCTTTCAAGATTGGTAAAGTGTTATTTGCATAGGGAACAATAGGATGATCAGAAGCTTGTAAGGACCCTACTAACCTGCCCGGTGTAGAAGACCTCCGTTTCACCACCAGTAAACAGGAACATGTTAATAAACTGAATCAGAATACTAGGAGCAGATGTGGAGTCCTCTGCAGAGTACGCTAACCATTTAAAGAAGATCATAAACACAAGGTAGCCAAAGATGCACATCATGAATAAAAGTTCAGGAAGAAAAACCAAATAAATATTATACTTCTTCTTGAAATGCCTGAAAGATAAAAATGGGGAAAAAAAAAGAAAAATAAGTTTTACAAAGAAAGGTCAAATACATGCCCCAAACACATTTTTAATAAAAAAGAACAGTACCCAGCACTTCTAAAGAGCAAGACTGAAATTAATCCAGAACTGATTTCTTCATATTCAGTAAAATTTTAATCAGATATTTCAGTGGGAATCAAGACCATAAGAGGCATGTATTTCTATTTAGCAACAAGTGAAACAAAATCTTGTATTAATCCCTGTCTTCAGATTTTTTTGGCATAACATTGATCTTATGTATGTGATGGAAGACCTGTTACTGTGGGGTTTTTAAGAACAGCTTTCACAATAACTATTATTCTGTTTCTAGAAACTCATTCCAGTTTCCCTTACAGATTAACTGTTATAATTCAATACTTGACAAAGACTGTAATGTTTATATTATCTTAACATCTTGTACTTACAAGTGGTTAAATACACCCAATACAACTCCAAACGTCATGTGAGTTACTCCAAAAATCACAGACATTTTCATTTTGAAAGAATTTAAAAAACTGAGACGGTTGCTTGCCAAATTCCAGATCTGAAGAAGACAAAAATCACCATTAAAGAACAGTGTAATAGGAGAAGAAGAAAAAAAAAAAAAAAAAAAAAAAAAAATCCTTTCCCTATTAGAGACCAGAATTCTACTTCAAACAGGGATCATAACTGAAACTTGAGCTTCATGAAAAAATAGTTAAATCTTCGACCTGTTAAAGGAAAAGCTCTTTCTGAATGGAGAATGCACGCAGAAATGTATTTTTTCCATAGTATGTTTATCTTCCTAATACACATACCAAAATCTAATTTACAAAAGGATAATTTAAAAGCATAAAACTAACCGGATCAATTCCAAATGGATAAGCTCCATTGTATACACCAGTAACATTTGGATCCAGTGTTAAAAATTGATTATACTTCAGATCCTCAAGACTGCAGAGAAAGAAAAACACAATCAGATCTCACATTGTTTAAACATAGTGACAATATAAACTTCCAGTTCTGCAGGGCACTACTGCTGTTTTCCTTTATTTGACTAGCTCACACCCACTGTCAGTCTTTAAAAGAAGAATGAAAGGATTTCTAAGCACAAAAGGCCTGGCTAGTAAAAACAATACCAAAATTAAAAAGTTCTAGAAATTCAGAGTCTGGCCTTAATTCACACTGTCTGTCTTTGAAAGGAAAGTTTCTGGATTTTATTCCTCACTCCCCTAGAATGGAAAGTTTCATCTTAAAAGCTCACAATTTGCTTTTATATAAAATTCACTATAAAACACACAAAGAATAATTGATATCTTTTTTTTCCCTTTTGCATTTGCATGAGTTTCCACTCTAACTTCATATAGTTTTTAATTAACACAGTACTCACAACCTGTTCACATTTTAACCACAGACAGTCATTTTGATGCTCCTATTTTAAGCCACTTCCTGTTTGTGAGGCAAAATGAGATGCAAGCTGTGAACACTTAAATACCAAAAGGCCATAACACCTCAAAACAATGAGGTTATCCCACTTTGTGAAAAAGTAGGTTTGACGATTCATAGCCTACTTTTTTTTTTTTACTATCAAGAAAAGCTGTGCAAAGAATAATGATTGCTAGGTAATTTATTTTGTTAGTTGTTAATTTCTTAACAGTAGATGCTAATACTGCTTGGCTATTCATTACATAAGCATGATCTAGGACAAATTTCTCCAAAACTAGCCCTCTGTTTTCTATTCCTCTCAAAATCTGATATATGTATTCAGAAACCTCTGCTGGAAAAATACAGTAATTGGAGACAAATTAAAACCATTAGCATAAAGACTAACCATAGCACAGGCAGCAGTGTGCTTTGTATGAATAAAAAGAATACATGAGAAGACAAAGTCCTAGTGCCTTCTGTTAAGTTTTTACAATACTGCTGAAGTCTCCAGCCATTCATAACACCACCTTTGTGAGATGACAAAAAAAGGTGCAAAACACACCTAAGAAGTTTTAGAGACTGAACGAACCCTAGAAATAGCACGTCAAAATTGGATGCAAGTTCTTCCTACCAATAAAAAGATACTATGCCGGCTACAGTTTTTAACCACTAGAAGTTATTAGCTAGCATATAGCATTAGGGTATCACCACAGAATTTGTTCCAGGAGAAGACTGATTGTCATGGATACCAAATGATAATATTCCAGGTGACTGAGGACATGTAAATCCAGTAAAGCAGCACTGATAAATACAAGATGAACTTGATAGATTGACTGAATTAAATATAACCAAATTCTAATAGTGGTTTTGCAAGACATCGTGTTCTCCGTGGATTTCCCAATTTAAGATAATAAGCAATTTGATTTTTTGTCAAAAAAACCTACTACTATTATTAACTATTACCACCCTTTTCATTTTAAGCATAGATGTATCACTTAGCCCTTAGCACACTAGCACTTACTACCTTAACAATTAGATTTTGCTAGATTCCACAATATTTACTTACTATTCTCAATAAAAGGACAGTTAAAAATCAGTTAGCAAAAGGGTTAAACTGTTGCAGGAAGTACATTTTTAATGGTATAGCAAACAGAGGCATGCTACTCACCTCCAAACCTTCTGTTCAAACATTGCTGAAACATTCCATCCAGAACCAAATATATTTAACGACTTTGAAAAACAGTCATTATAGATCAATCCAGTGTATACAGAAAACAGGCCCATTAGTAAAATAACATATCGGCCTTCAAATAACATTTTCATTATCTGTAAGTATTGGAAAAAAGAAAAAATAGAGAACATCATCTGCTATATGAACAATCATTATCTAAGACATTTCTAAGAGAAACACATTTTTAGCCATACCAAGACTTCTAAGAACTAAACATTCTTGTGAATAGTCATTAAGGAATATCAAGAAACCTACAGCCAACTGAGATGTAACACGGAGAATTTTGCTTGAAGCATATGAATATGCAATTTACAAATGGCAGTCACCAAACTGGTGCACTTTATCTCCCCAAATTCACAGCTTTATGGCTAGTGATTTATATGCAAAGGTTTATATGCATTAGGAAATAGAGCTAGCAGCAAGAAGTATTATTCTGAAAGACAATTGTGGTTTAAATTGAATGCAGAGATTTGAAGCGCCCATGCACGCTCCCATCACACAAACCAAGACTTTACTCATTGGCATCACTACACTAAGGAACAGTCTTTTTAAACCACATTTCCTTCCCAGGCCTAGTTTTCAAGAAGGTAGTAATTTGCAGCCATTCTTGATTAAACATAATTCCAATGAGAGATAAACTTGTTCCTGCATTCCAACCCCGTATCATTAAAAAAAAAAATCAGTTAAAATTAAGTTTAATAAATTTCAAACTACAACTCCTTTTAGATGGAATTTGAAAAATCATTTTCTCCTCACATTAGTCACTGTAACCACATTCTGTAACAGACACACACATCACTAAGGAGCCCTAGCGGAAGGAAAGACGAGCCCAACAGTATCAACTAATTTTTCTCAGCCTTTCATTCCAACTTGATTATTTCTGCCCTTTCAAAAAAAAGTGAATAGTTTGTTAAGATATCACATTAAACTCAAGGAATATGGCAACTTTAAACACAGAAAATCCTGAAACAAAGGGAAAAAAAACCCCAGTCTAATACACGTGCAATAAATAGTACTTTTCAGAAACATGGTAACTATTCAATTGCTTGCTGGATGGGGAGTAAGTTATTTGTAATTCCTTTTACCTCATCTTGTGATCTTTGTAATCTAGGGTGGTTTTCATACAATATGGTCAGGAGTGCAAATATGAACATTAGCAGACCGTGCCCAAAGTCTCCAAACATAACCGCAAACAAGAAGGGAAAAGTGATGATGGTATAGAGAGCTGAAATAACATAACAGATTTCAGACACACAGCACAATAGATGATGTCACTATCAATTAAGCCAAACCAATTCAACTACTTTAACCTCTCAAACAATTTTCAGCTTTAAGTTTGAAAGACATTTCACCCCCTGCTAACAGACTTTTCACACACACACTATAAATTTTCCTCAGTTTAAAGCTTGCTTATGTATATGCCTTAGTAGTGACAACTCTGCAGTTAAGCATTAGCTGACAATTCTGAGGATAGTAATACAAGCCCTGGAAATAAAAACCAAACAAACAGTTCCTCCTCTGTGGGTATTTTGGCTCTGTACTGTAATGAATATTCTCCTATAGAGAACGACATAGTCAACATAGCTGCAAAAATACATAAAGACATTAAACTAACTGGGTTATACAAGAAGCTAGATTTTTTTCAACTGAGGAGCTCCACACTTCAGTAAGATCAATAGCCATTACCAGAGTTTTCTTTTTTGTCCTAAATAACTTATCTTATCCAAGGTAAAGAATATAAAGAAACGTTATACAGCTCTTATCAGTGTCTTTAATGCTAAAATACCTCAGCAAAATCAAATCCCATCTTACTCCTTGGAGCTCCATTTGTACTTTTGATGAGCTACTGAAATTTTAAATCAGCTACTAATAAGCAGTGTGGTTGCCACCATTTTGTCCAATTCAGCAAGGTATTTAACATGTGACAAGGCAAGCAGTAACGACAGCACAGCTCACAGTTCAGATTTGAGAGGACCAACCTGGATTAACTTCCCCATAGTTTCCAACTCCATAAGCATCAACGATGTTTTGGAACCCTGAGGTGAATTTATTGGTACGTATTAAAGTTGGAGGAGGTTGTGTTGTTGGGATGGTATTCATGAATGAAGAAATTGCAGCTCCACTCTTCCTCTAGTTGCAGGCAGAAAGAAGATACTTTTATATAAAAACTCAGTTGATGTTCAATCTAATCATAGTGAAAACACTTTCTCTATCAGCAGTTTCTGAATCTTTATTTTATATGAAATACCAAATGAGAATCAGTCAATTTTATAAAACAAAGATTTGTTACTAAAAATTCCCTCTTGTAAAACAAAAAGATGGAGCTGCACTCAACACAACTAACACAAGGAAATTAGCACCTTCTACTTGACTGCAAATGGCACTGTGAGCCCAATCAGACTTGGGTCCGCCACAGAAGTTCTTATTCAAAAAAACCAACCAACCCACCCAACACTATATAAAGGCTCTGCTAATAAAGAAATCTGTTTATATGAGTTCAGAGACCCAGACCTTCCTGTGCCTGCTTTTAACCTATTGTAAATAAGTCTGCATAGGTAGTTCAAGACAAAGGCTTTAACATCAGTGAGCTGACTTACTGAACCTTCCTCCAACGCATGGCGCAAATTCTGCAGATCAGCCACCGGACACCAAACCTCAGCGATTAAACATTTATTTGTGACATCAAAACTACACAGGTTGAGTACATGATAAATGGCTTTCATCTTCTTCACTTGGATAACCCATGTATAGATGGATTCAGATGCTTTGCACAAGACTTGGCGTAAGTAATCCTCAGTTTTATGCAGCACCTTTCTCCAAGAAAAAAACAAAAATATTTCATTGAAAATGAACAGTGGTTACGTTAACCACAGTAGGAGCACTCAGTATTTGTCCAATGCTGGATCACATTTGTAGGAAGCCACACTAACCACCGGTTAAAACAAAAGGCAATGCCAGAGTGCCCTGAAGTTTAATAGATGCATACAACACGAGACTAGGGACACGACATACAGTCATGTTCGGATCCAAAGCTCTATGTATTTTAGAAACGTATTAATGTATTTAATGCTGTGATTCACAAAAAGATTTCCTATGGTGTTAAATAACTACAGCAAAGGGAATACTGTTATTTACTCACAGTATGAAGGTCCTGAATACGAACATTCAGTCCTTCAACAACTGCCTTGCGCTCCTCCATGGTATTTGGATAGGGATACACATGACAGTGATAGCTACAGAAAAACAGAAGTTTGTGTTAAATAGCGAAACTAAAACAAAACAAATCGCTCAACCATGCCCTAGTCAAATCTGCAACACACCATTTAATAACCACTGAATAGATTCAACTGAGAGAGACAGTATTTTGCCTGTACTTAATAAGGACTGCAGATAAAATGACTCATACATTTATTTGTACATTGCATAATTATAAAGCTAGATGCAAGGGGGGGACAGGGACGACACAAATTTAATTTCAAAAACCTTGCTTAAAAATGAACATTTAAAAGGAAGGGGAACAGGAGGGAAACTGACAAGAAAATATAACCCAGGTATAAAAAAATCATATATATATATATATTAGTTTTACTTCTTACCAATCACAAATCTTCTTAACTTTCTGGCCAATTTGTTCACCCCAATAGGACACTAAAAAAACAAACCATTTTGTGGTTTCGCCCTAAAAAAACCAAAAAAGTTAAGCTGATGAAGTTTGTTTTTAACCAACAACTCCACTGCAATATAATCACAGAGCAAAATAACACATTTGAATAATTAGAAAAAGCTGTGTTAGTAGCATCAACCTTCCACAATTTTAGTGAAGATCTAAAAATAAAATTCAAGTGTGCCAATATCTCTCTTTTTTGGTATATTAGAGAAAAACAGAAAAATATTTTAGGAAAAATAAGAGATTGATTATATTTTACCATCTCAGAATTATTACTAACAAAAAAAGTCTTAAAAAAATAAAAATGTTACGAATTAGAATCAAAGCAAAATTTAAAACTGACAGATTAGGCAGCCATAATTGCTGATTTACAAAAGTGAATTTTGTAAGTTCAGAGACAAAACTTAATAGAAGACCAACTGTGCTCCAGACTTTTTTTTCCTTAACTACCGAATGGACATATAAAATTACCATTAAAAGGTAATGCACTGTACAGACCTAGTTAATAAATATCCAAGCAGCCATTTATGCCTCATATTTTGATCAAGGAAGCCAATCATAAAATCACTACTATTCCACAATGAAGTTCTGCACTCATCAAGCTGAACCATGGTTAAATAATTGCCGCTCCTATAGTTATGGTGGCACCAAGACCTCTAATTTTAAAGTCTTACAAGTTCTAATACTTTAAAATAGTTTTCCCTCCAAGGGCACTGGGAAATCATTTATATTCATTGCAGGCAGACCTGAGCAGAAATTCTTCCAAGTCTTATAAAAAGTAGAAACAAAATAAACTGATAGTTACAATGTTTACTCACTGTATCTGGATCTTCCAGACATTCATCCAACTCTGCATAGGTAAGAATAGTATATCCTTTACAGACTCTCCACAGCATTTTTTCAAATGCTTCAACTTTTGCTATGTGAACTAACCCAGATATGAATCTATGGAAAAAGAAAAAAATTTAAAATAAGCTAAACTCCACATGAAAAATTAAAAACTCAGAGTACATCATCACTCAAGATCACATAGGTCACAATAATTTAACATCTCCCATCTCTATAGAGAAGGAAGCGTCACCCTAAACAGGAAGTAACCGGTATATAAAATAGACTCCATTTCTGTTTGGAAAACAAATGGACTGTAGGCCAGAGCGCACAATTAGAATCGTATTTGACATCGTTTCTTTCTGTGATAGTAAGGTTCTTAATTTTTTTGCTTGGTAAGATACCCTCTCACAACAGTGTTGTAGAGCATGGTATCCATACATAATTTTAAAGGCAAGTAGGCAATACCATTAATAATACTACAACTGATATTGCCAAGTGATTAAAACACTGTGTTTATCCTAGAAAAACAGAGTAGAAGAAAGTACTGATTTTAGGTATTTTAGATTTTTCTAGATTTTTAGATATTTTCCTTAACAGACATACTTGGTTTGATGGAAGTATTGTTGCAGTTTTTTTGGTGCTGCCCTACTTGTCTCTTCAAAGAATACAATTTTGTTACAAAAGTACATTTGGGCCAGACTCCTATCCTGTCTAAAACTGTTTGGCTCATCTGAAATCACTACAGTCACACTACATTCCCTCTCTTAAGAAAACAGCCCGTTATTTACAGGAGCTCATCAAGCAGTTTTGAAACAGCACACACTGACAACCTGCCAGACGGGGACTGAACCATACCTACCCCAGCTTGGCACCCAATCTGTGCATACAGTTGTAATCCACTAACGGCTCGTTTTCCACAGATGGAAATTCTTCATAATTTGCATGTAAATGGGATTCATACTAGCAAATAAAAGAAAGATAATTTATAGCTTTCAGGAAAAAAAATATTTTATTATTCTAAAGAAGAAAAGCTAATTAAGGAATTTATTTCAATAAAAATATAAAACACTTTCCTGTGTTCGATTCAGACAACAGAAAGATCTTAGGATCTCAGGTGCACTGCTCTCGGCAATTATAGTCAGTCTTGCAAAGGCTACATGGCAAATTTCTTAGCACAATTTACACATCAAAATAACACAAATACACCTCCATTTTCAGTTGGCATCAGTAATAATATTCAAACAATTAAATGGAGAAATCACAAAGCTCCTCTAAGTTCAGGGCTGCATTTTGCTATGTATATGAACACAGCCTAGCACAAGGGGTTGCCAGCCAGGTTTTCTAGGTACTGAGCATAAATAATAACAAACAACATACAGTGCTGTAAAGCCCGACACCAAATCACACACTTAACTGAACTACTAACAGTGTGCCACAAAAACAGCCCATGACACACAATCATCACCAGACAACATAAGCAGTACCTCAGCTGTTCTCCTGACAAATCTTTGCGTGACCTCTAACATGCACGTGTATTCCGTCAGTTCAAGCAGGTTTTTCCTCAACTTTTCTTTGTTTTTAGTTACTTCCCTCAATTCTGTCTCCAGCTTCTGCAACTGTTCCTAAGACATGGAGAAAAAATTACACAGAATCAGTTATACTGTTTTGGAAATCACGGGATGATGAATTTTAAGCACATATTAATCTGCTGCAATGATGGGAGTTTCCCCAATTTCTTAATTAACTTAAGCTCCATAGCTTTTATTCCTCAGCCTGCTAAAGATTGCTTTGTACTGAATGCAGTTGATCCTCCACTGGCATCTGTTAAGTCTGCTGTTCTGACCCTAATTTGCGTCCAAGCTAAGTAATGCAGACTTGGTATTAGAACTTCAGAGAGTACAAGGTGCAAAATGCTTATCTATTCTATTAATAGAATTACAGCAAAACAGAATGTCATTCAAAATTATATCTGCATTTTACAAGCTTCTACTTCTAACATAATACCAGAAAAAGCATTCAGAGAAAATAGCACCATGTTTTGCTATGCAACCAGCACTGGAACCTGCAGAGCCTTGGGCATATAAAACTCCCACTCACCCTGGATTTTAGATACACGAAAACAGCCTTAGCTAAGTCCCAAAGCAATAAATGAGGCTGAAGGACTACATCGACAGACAACAATTTGCCTGGAACAGTGTAATATGCCAAACCATCAAAATTAAAAAAAAAATTTAAAAAAAGACAAAACCAAAAGCAAAGGCTTCTGCTACCCCTGCCACACCCCTATAACTTCAGTCCTAAGTAATAAGATAGTAAGTAATTAAGTTTGAAATACAGTTCCAAGATCCAGAGCTACACCTTTGGTAGTGGTGTGGAAAAGTTACCTGGATTTCTAAAATGTGTTTCAGCAAGGGAGCAGGAGGAGCAACATCTCCTTCAGGAAGTGGAATATCCGCTTTTTTAATTTCTTGTACTAAATATCCTGGAGTGAGAAGAAAAACAGAATCAGAAAGGGAACGGTATTACCTTATACTTCCTAGAATACTGCATAGTTGACCTTCAGCTGTTACTGATGGTGCTGATCACACTGCAGCATCAGGCCCTAGCTATTTTATCCGTTTTAGCAACACCACACACACTGGAGTCTTCAAAAAGTATGCAAGGAAAGGGTGAGGACTAGTCCATCCAGGGAAGAAAAAAAAAAAAAAAAAAAAAAAGAGGGGTTTATGGAGTGCTAGGAATAAAATACACAGAACATTTCTGTCTTGGAAGTTTGAGGAAGTAAATTATCTTCAGAGTCCTGTGACTAAAATTTTCCAACCACAAGTACTTTTTAAGAAGCTTTTAACATTTCATAACATCTCTTTGCTGCTGCAAGATATCACTTTCTGCTAATCATGCCACCTGCCAAAAATTGATATTCTGCTCATTGACCCATGTTTGGAATAAAAAAGTGTTCAAACAAGGTGACTTAAGCAACCTTGACAACAAATGCAACTCATGCTGGGCAGGGAGATTGCCGAAATAGCTACTGGGATGGTTTGGCATGACCAGCACATGCCTCTGATGAGAGATTCCAATAAAAAGAATCCTTCATTGGTAACTTTTCCTCAGGATACATTGAAGAAATCTGTATCTTGGTTGTAATGCTCTACATACTCTTCTCTATTCATTAACTACCATGTGAATACAATTATTAATAACTTGAGTTATTTTTGAGGGTGCTTGGAAGTTCAACAGCACTGAGTTACATAACATGAAAAACAGTTTATCTTATAGTCACAGAAATATTCAAAGTAAAGCTCCATTTTCCTTGCAGATTTTTAAGCAGTCAATACTGAAATGGTCTCAATTATTTATCAGCAACAAATTAGCAACTCTTCTTCACCTCTGAGTTTAAAAAAAACCCAACCTATGTTTAGCACATACATGTTGTAGTCTAAATAAATTTTTCAGCTCACAAAACCAACAAACCAAGGTCAGTGGTTAAATACTGGAACAGGTTGCCCAGAGAGGTTGTGGAGACTCCACAGGCAAAAATCCTACTGGATACAGTCCTGGACAACTGGCTCTAGCTGCCCCCGCTGGAGCTGGAGGTTGAGCTAGGTGATCTCAAGAGGTCCTCTCCGAACTAAACAACTCTGTGATACACTCAAAACTGCTGCCGCATATCAACACAAATTAAGGAATACATTTGTACGTTCTGACACAATTCAGTGCTACAGTCAAGTCATCTCCGGCTCCCAAAATCTACATAAAGACATGTTTTGTATTTTTTTCATACAAACAAAAATTTTGTAAGATTCTACAGCATTCAGATCATACAAGACTGGGAAGATTAAAAAAATCTGTAGCTAAAACCTCCACTGTAGTTCTTCTCTAGCAATGTAAAATTTAATAATACCACAGATGAGAAAGGGTAGGCATGAAAGTAAAGCTCACCAAGTATTCTTTCCATTTCTTCACACTTCTTTACTTCATTCACAAATTTTCTCTGAAATACACTTACATTTGGGTTAAGCTGAAGGAGAAGAACAAAATGCTTATTAGGTATTTAAAACAGCAGGCACCCCTAAAAAACCACAGCTATTTCTGTGACTTCATGGAAACCATTTTCCATATATTCTACATGCTCTCTTTCTACAAAGTGCTTTTCGGCTACAAAGGTATGAAAACCTAAAAGGATTAAAAAGTCTTCAAATAGCAAGGTTGGTTTTATTAAAGCTGCATCATCAATGCCTTTTGCTAGTTTTACTCGAATAACAAAATAACTAGATCTACCAGAGAAACCATTCCTAATCTCATTCCTAGAGTTTTAAAATACTGCTTAAGAACTTCAAATTCACAAACAAACCTTTCTACAAGCAAATTTCTGCAATGGATTTCCACAGAATCCATTTGAAATGTTAAGGTTCGAAAGAATCTTTTTACATACATCCCCATATTGTGAGTGTGCAATGTCTCTCACTACTTATTCAGCTTTTCAATCAGACCCACTAATATGGTATTTCTGGAACAAATGGTGTGTCAGATACCTAGAACAGCATCAATGTGTTAAATGTAACAACCCATGTAGTGATTCTTATAGATTTGTCTCCTACTACCTACTGTATTTACTAATTAGATGTTAATTTAAGTTCTCCCAGCTTTCTTTGCAAAGATTTTGCAACCTGCATTTCTGAAGAATGCTTGGAAGAAATTCCAACGTCTCAGTCAGCAAGCAAAGATCATATAATTACGATGAGACAATGCAGAAACAAGGTTAATTATTACCCAACCCAATTATATGTTAGTCAGGCATGCAGTTTCCTCCAAGGTGAATTGCTCCTCCAGGAACAGACATGTTTTACAGAGCAGCAGTCTGCAGTGAAATAAGGCTACAGAACAGCCAAGATGTTTCTATCGATCTGTCAACAGGGTGGACATATCTATTAGCTGCGCACATACACTCAGACTAAAGCCAGTGTGGCTTGAGGTGTGTAATGGGCTGTCCCACGGGATCCTACTGCAAAAAAAACCCCCCAAGTTTAAACTGTTTCTGAGAGAGGCAGGATACAGTCATCCCAAAACACCACCCCCCCAGCAGAGTGTCGGGGAGGCAGGGGGCTCCACCGTGACTTGCCACCACCCGATCTCGCTTTCAGGCAAATGCGATATAGAGATCAGCCATACATCTGCAAGCCGGAGTCGGGGAAAGAAGACAGAAAAGCGGTAAAACCCCCCAAGTTTAAACTGTTTCTGAGAGAGGCAGGATACAGTCATCCCAAAACACCACCCCCCCAGCAGAGTGTCGGGGAGGCAGGGGGCTCCACCGTGACTTGCCACCACCCGATCTCGCTTTCAGGCAAATGCGATATAGAGATCAGCCATACATCTGCAAGCCGGAGTCGGGGAAAGAAGACAGAAAAGCGGTCCTGGAGTCTTTTTACATCGCACTATCGGAATGAAACCCACACACTCCCGACGGCGACTGCTCTGCCCGGCTC